GTCTCTCTGCCTTTCACACCGCCCTGTGTGACCACACGGACACGATGTTGGCTTTGCCTCGCTCTGCTGAGTCGGGAAAGCTGTAGCTAGATATGCAGATCGCATCGAGGAGCCTGTGTGTGGCGGGAGCGGGTGGAACGTGCCATTCCAGTTCAACAGCTCTCACTCCCCGAGACCCCTGGCTGGGAAAATTACCCAGCTTGAAATGCTAAGAGTGAGGAAGGACTCTTGGATGGGTCGGAGGGACAGGACCACGTTGCTGGAGCGTGACTGACCCTGTGGAGGAATAGATCGATAATGGGTTGTCCTGGGCCGAGCTGGAGGTATAAGGGTTGTCCTGGGCCGGGCTGGAGGTACAATGCTTGTGCTGGTCCTAAATTCTGTGAAGAAAAGCCTATGTCACCTACTACAGCACTACTCCATTTGGCTGCAACCACAGCTACTTTCTCAAACATCCGAAAGTCACCTTTTACCTGGTGACCTCCTAAAGGAGCGAAAGGGTGTGTTGACAAAACCGAAATTTTATTAACACCTGCCCCAAAATGTTTTAGATCGTTATGCAAGCCTGCGAGTGCCAGGCATTTCTGGTGGAGTGGCAAGCTGTGAAATGCAGGGGTCAGCTCTAAAGTTTCTGTTCCTAAAGTGTGTGTCTCTCTGAGCATCTGCCACCACAAACGGGGAGGGAGAGGGGAAAAAAGGTCACCTTTTGCCTATCCCAAGCTCCTGGGGGCTGTGTACTGGTAAATAACTGTTCCCCTGACCGAGCTGAAACTAGCTTGACTTAATGTTTGCACAGGACTTCAGAAAACCTAGGCGGGTGTGCGCTTCCCTCGTGCCTTTAGTGGCTGCTTCTTCAGTGCTCCCAGCTCATCTGTCTAAAATTAGCCGGGTCCAGCTCGTGTGTGAGATAATAAGTGTGATGTTCTCGCTGCAGGACGAGTCTTGGCCGCCGCTGCGGATTTCAGCAATGACAGACCCCTCTGCGGGGAGGGGGAGGATGTATGTGCGTGGAGTTTGTTTTTAATGAAAGACAATTTAAACGTTTCTGAGGAAAATTCTGAAATAACTGACATTCGTGGCCCAATTCTGATGGTGTTGCAGTTAAAAAAAACCCCCAAACTTATTGTCTCAGAGTTTGTAAAGCAAAAGAAACAACCTAAATCATCAGGATCCCTCCCTCTCAAATCAACCAACCAGACTCTTTAAGGCACAGGGCAGCTCAAATGTCTGTTAATGCCAAGAGTGTTTCTTAAACACTGCAGCTGCAACTGTAATAAGCTTAATCCATTCAATTACTTTTGATTGCTTTGAGATCCAAACAAGCCATCCCCTTATCTAGCCTCATTAAACCCTCAGAGATATAGTAATAAGATAATTCAGAGATAAAACGAGACAAAGTGAAGCACATGTCCTACAAATGGACTTTTCTTTTCCCGCCAGCCAGTCTGTAGGCAAGTTAAATTCTCTCTAACTGTGTTGTTTTGCTGCTGTGATTGGAAACTGAGGGTATCTTGTCTGAACTATAAAAAAAAACCAACAAAGCCTCAGCTTTACTCGGTTGATCCAGATCTGCAATTCGCACCTCGGTGGCAGTGGGCAGAGGCACGATTTGCTCTGTGGGAGGTGGAGGAGCTTGCTTATTGTGGCAGATATTGTAGGTTATGTCAAAACACACATTCCAAACTGGGGCATCCGAGTTTGCTGGGTGTGCACATTTCCCCTTGCCCTTTAACTCTCTCCCCTCCTTCTTCCTGCTCTCAGTGAGCTTATTCCCTACAGAAATACGATCTGACATAGAAAGGTTTTGAGTCGAATGTGAGCCGTTTCACGTCGGTGGCTTAAAATGTAGGCTGCTTCCATTCACAGATAATGTGACAGTGTTTTTTTCTCTCTAACAACTAACTTGAAGCGGAAGCGAAGTTTGAAACTTTGCAGCTCTGGAAAGAACTCCTGCTGTGTTTTGAGGCTGGAAAAATATCTTGATAGTCAAGAAATGGGCTGAAAAGCCACACTGGGGCATATTCAGCAGCACCTGTTAGGGCGTCCTGTTCCCTGTTACTAGGTGATGTTAGCATAGATGATCCTGGTGCCGGGGCAATTTGCAGGAAAAATGCTAATGTCTCTTTGAAATGCACACAAGCAAATCCTCCTCTACCACTTCCTTCACCTCGGGGAAAGGTGGAACCTGCAAACACGGCAAATTCAGATGTCCTGGTTCTCCATTTGCTTTTTGATGTAATCCTCCGCATTCTACAATTTCCGCTTCGGTAAGTGCCTCCACCCTGGGATTGCAAATACCAAACAGTGGGCTTGGGCCTCTTGGGAGAGAGGTGGGGCCTGCTGATCCGAAGTGAGCCTGAGAAGCTTAGGAAGGAGGTTTGTTGGGGCAAGACATACGGAGTCTGGAGGCTGCGCGACTCCCATGAGGTTTCCCTGGGGCTGAAAAGCCCTGATTCCATGTCTCTGTCTGATGGGCTGAGAAAATGCTTCTCTTCTCCGGCTTTTGGGAGCTGCTGCCTCATTCCTAACAGACAGCCAGGACAGGCCTGCTATGTACATTTATGTCTTTCTCTTGCCCTCCCATGGCACCTTCAATATAGCTGTATTCCCTTTCTTGTCTTATGTGAATGCCTTTCGGTCCTCTTTGCGGACTTTCTTCATTTCGTACAGATTCCTTTCCTTCAAACCCTGTGGTTCTGCTTATTGCCAGGTCTTTCCCCTCCTTGAGAAGATGATTCTATCTTTTCCTAAAAATCTCTTGGCCCTTACCCTGAAACCTTTGGGGCACGACTTGATCTTCAAGATAACCCATCTACAGGTGATCAGTGCCCCCCGAAAATGCTACTTTGGGAAGATCCTTTGGGAAGGACCTTTTGCCTCGCTGGGAAGTGGAGGTTGAGGTGGGACCAGCAGCAGAACTGAGCTCTGATGCGTCCCAGAACTGCACAGAGCCCCACAAATCCATCGCAGCACCTTACCTGGCAGAATCTGACCTGGGATGTTCCTTCAAGAGGGCTGTTCCTGAAGAATTTTGAGCAGCTCACTCCATCATGGCCTCGACGGTGCAGAGCTCTGGAGCCCCTCCTCGTTTCCCCCCTCCCCTCCAGCTGTCGGCTCATTTTGCGCGGTGAGCCATGCTGCTCAGGGCTCTTCTCTCGCCCGCTTTGGCAATTTTGAAAGCAGTTTGGGCTGAGCCTCAACCTGTACGACTCCTTCACTGCTAAAACTTGTATTGAAAGCCACTTCAAGGAGTGCTTTGTTCCTGGTCCTGCTCTTTAATGAAGTATTGGAATCTGTTAGTAAATAAACTGAGTCAAGTGTCAGCGTTGTTGATGCAGCAGGAAGGGAGGATGGCTGAAGTCAGTTTTGAATAGCAATTAAAACGTCTGACTTCACAGCAAGTGAATAAATACTCCGGTCTTTTTTATTTTTACTGAAGAAAGACTGATTTTTTTTTTTGGTGGTGGTGGTAGATATGGGAGAATCAGGATTTACACCTAAATACAGCCTTTTCTTTAGTGTATCTGCCTGCCAAACAGTGGGACGGCCTGGCTGTGTGCTTAGGACGCTAAAGACGTATTCTTGAAGACGTTTTGTTGGCTCATAATTCTTATAATGTTGGGAAATGGGGAATAATACTTCTTACACAGTAGGTATATATATCTTTTTTTTCCTTCTCTCCAGCTACTTTTACAGAAAAAATAGAAACTTGGTAAAACTAGCATAGTTTCCATGTAGTCGCTAAGATACTTAATTTTAGAATTAATTGATTCTGATAACTTGTACCGCAGTGCCAAAGTGTCAGGCAAAGGAGACATTTTCTCCAGCTCTCAAGCAGAGCTGCTTGGTGCAATCATCCTGTTCTTCAGGGGTTTAAACTAAGTTTCTGCCTTTCACATTAGCTGTTAATTAAGAAAAGCCCGGACGAGCAGAACAGGGTCTCTTTTGGCCAATTTCCAGCTGATTTGTCAACCCTGAGTTGACTTCACATTTTGAGGAACTACTCAGAAAGTGGTGCTGGGGGAGCAGTTCTGTATTCCCTGTCAGGAGCGGGTTTATCGCTTCAGCACGCTTGGGCTGCTGGAGTTGAGCCGGAGGCGGGCGCTGTGCGAGACTCTCGGGCCGTGAGCAGACATGTCCTGCCTGATACGTTACTTTTTAAAAATGGCTTTGACTACGGTAATCGTGATCTGAACTGAGGGGTTTTGGTTTGGTTTGGTTTGGTTTGTAACTCGTACTGCACAATAAATTGGTTTATTCTTTTAGAATTACGGTCGTATGAATGCCATAATCACTTTTGGAGCATGCGTGCTGCTGGCACGAGGACTGGAGGAACCACAGAGCGCTGGGGCTTGGAGGCACATCCCTCCCCAGTCTGGTACTTACCTTTGGGATGGAGCTCTGCTCTACCTTCTAACCACTGCTTGTCTTCCAGGGATGGTGTCGGAAGGGGCAGAGACGAGAAAAGAAGCAACTGACACAGATGAGTCGAAACCAGTGAGCAAAGTCAGTGCCTCAGAGGAAACCTCGACAGCCGTTAGTCCCCCGTCATCCCCAGCTCCTGGGATTGCCTGGGGTGGTCGGTCTGCACCCACCATAGTCAAGGATGTGAACCCCGAAGTGCTCAGGAGCGGAGTTGCCTGCCTGCCCGGTGAGTGGCTGAGCCAGAACGTGTCTGGGAAGCGTGGGTTGTAGGAGAGCGAGGTTGATGAGCTGCTGTTTGCAGCGCTGCCGACTGGCGCCGGTTCCGTTTCATTTTACCCCAAACCTCTCCAGAAGCAACGCTTCTCGAATCCTCTGAAGTTTCTGGATGGGAAGGACAAGAAGTTGAACTTGCCTCTCCTAAGTTGCTCCCAGAAATCTCCAGATGGTAACCAAGTGCCTGTGAGTCAGAAATGCCAAATCCCTGTGCTCATGCTGGTAGTTCAAAAAGAGAAGAGTGAGGGTGCAGCTAATGATGGGCTGGTGGGCCTGACATCAGCCCTGGTCGAAACAACAGGGGCTTGATTCACTTGGTAGATAATTAAAGGATAGGACTGTAGAGGATGCTGTTTGACAGAGCTCTTGTAAAACCAGTTTTATTCATGGTAATTAGAGGTTGAGTTGATTAAATGTAGCTGCCCAGATAGAATAGATTTTTAGGAAACGTTTGATTTTGTGACACATAGTGTTGAAAGGAGTATCCCGATGGATGGTGGATGAGCAGCACACGGGATGAGTGATAGCGTAGCTAAAGAGCAGATGACAGAACGAGCTACCGAGGGGGGACTTCCCAGAATTGTTCTGCCGTGATCAGATGCAGGTCAAATGTTGCTCAGTGTTTGCATCTGATACAGCAGCGAGCATCGAATTGCTGCAGATAAAAACCTGCAACGGGACAAATACTGGCAGAGCGGTAAACAAAGCTGAGGCTGTTGGACGGAGCAGCTGGGACCGCTCGATGTGCCGGGCCCCCAAAAGAGGTCTTTGTCTTTTAACCAAATAGGAAGTAAAGCAGAGGAAGTGAGATCTACCTCTCCAGCGCGGAGCGGCCGTTTGGCAGCGTCTGGGTGAGCAGCCCCTTCCTTCCACAGCCAGGGAGAGGGTTGTCCAATGCAGGGCACGAAGATCGCTGCATTCCATCAGCTGGGGAGTGACCTAGGAGTTGAAAAATCAAAAATAGAAATGGTGAATATTGGAGGTGGTGCGGGAGGGGGTGGCAACTCTTTCTTGTAGCTGAGTTGGATGTCGTATGGCAAGAGACTGGAAGGTTATTGATGTCATAAGATCATAGAATGTTCGGGGTGGATGGGACCTCTAGAGATTATCTAGTCCAATTCCCCTGCCGGAGCAGGATCACCTGGAGTAGGCCACAGAGGAACTCAAAGGTGAGGTGTAAACAGCTTTGTGCAGGGAAGGAGGAGAGGGAAATAAGACTTTTTTCAGTCTTCTGGAAGAAAGCAAAATGAGAAACCAAGTGCAGGGCAGAATTATGGTACATTCAAACGTGTAATTTCACATCAGTAGGTAAACTGTTAAGAGCAAACTCCAAAGGAAGATTTCTAAGCTTGGGATCTGCTTATCAGGGTGGGTGTTTTAGGGTGTGTACAACAGCCAAAAAATTAGAATTTGAGAGGGATCCTGAAGAGAAGCTCGTTGTCCGTGCTGTTACAGAAGCCTGACTTTGTGATCTGGTGCTCTGCTTGTTTCCTCTGTCGTGAATTCCTGTCATAACGTAAAACTTAAACAAGGTGGATCTGTTCGAGCGTGGGACGAAGGGGTGTGCCCTTGAAATGCATCGAAAAGGCAAGGTTTGGGTTTGAGACTGCTTCCACAGAAGTTTTTTGTCTAGGGGAGGAATCCCATCTTCTGCAGAAGTATCAGATTTGACTGACACCTGTGCGTGTCTCTGGATTTCAGTGGGCAATCCTCACACCTGAGGGAATGCGCTCGCCTCTCAGTTAAATGCTTTCTGTTGGACTTTGGTAATGATATAATAATTATGTTAGAAGGGAGAACCTTTATGATAAATAGTGAGTAAGAGCTAATTAGTAAACTAGTAGCTGATGGAATTAAGAAGAAATTTTCCTTTCGGGACAGTTTCAATTCTGCATTCCACTTTTGAATCATCTGGTTCTGCCACTGTCGGAGACCTAGCCTTGGTGGCTGCGGTTGAATTTTTGACCTGGTCAAAGCTCCTGTATGGAAGTTCAAGGTTTAAGCAAGTTCTGGTGTTGCTCAGCCTTCCTGATGGACAAAAAAAATTGCTTTGGAGTGAGAAAGCTTTTACTGAACCCTGTTATCAAGCCAGTACTTGAGTGCTTCGCTTTTTTTATTTTCTGGCGATACCTTTAGCTTATGAAACAATATATATTAGTCAAATTTTTGTAATTTCTCTTCGATTATACAGTGTCCAGAATAGAATGTTTCAGGAGTAATCCTGAATCACGCAGACAATGAAAGACTTGTCGCTGCTGTTAGCAGGAGAAAGCCTGTGTCACAGCTCTGGTCCCTGGCAGGGAGAAAGCCCCACTTTCTGAACGATGCCCATCTGTGTCTGTGGCCCTTACTCAAGTGACAGATTGAGATCACACCGGGGCAGATTTCTGTGCTCGGGGCTGTCCATCTGTAGCTGTTTTACCCATCAACGCCTCACGTGCTTGGCCCTGGGATGAGGAGAGAGGTGGTCCAGGACAGTATCTCCTGTGGTAGCAATAGAAGAGACAGAAGGACGTAGCTTTTTTCAAACCTCTGGTTTTGTCTTGTGCTTGAGACTTTTTCCCCCTTCTCTCTCACAGGGTTTACATGGCAGGAAACGGCTTCTGCTCTTATGAAGGACTTTTCACACGATAGAGGTGTAGTCCCTCCCGTTCCCCGGAACACAGAGCTCCCTGGTCACTCGAGAGTCAGCTCAGGGTCTCTGAAGCAATGTGTCTGTCTGCTCTTTGCTTCTTCTTTGCATCTAGAGAGGAGGCTGGATATAACTTCAGGAATGGCACCGCTCTGCCCCTTTTTTCAGAGTTCTTGGTGCATGTCATGGCTAAAGCCAGACTGTCATTGAGTTTGGGGAGCTCATAGACTTGGTTCCTGTGATAAGCTGTGAGTTGGGACTTCTGGAAATTGGGGAGAACTGTTGTCCTGGCTAACTGAAGCAGAGGGGTTTCTCTTTCCTCAGCGTACCTGCGTTATCTCGACTGCCAGCAATGTGAATGTTGTAACAGAAGCGGAAGTGAGATTTATTTATCTCGAGATAAATAATGTTTTGTGAGATCTTTTGCTTTTCTCACTAGATTGGATTATTGTTAGCCAGCTTCAGTCATGTTTTACAAAGAATGTGTGTTTAGGTAGAAGAGAGCGGTCTGAATTTAACACTACCAGGAGAGAAAGACAAGCAGAGCTCAGCTACTTCACTCTGGGGTGGCATTTGGGTATTTTGGAAGTGTCTTCCCAGCCTATCACAATCTGCAACACGCACCACATGGAGTTCTGTGGCACATTTCCAGGAAGGTGATGGGCTGGTAGCAGGGGAATACGAGGCTTACACACCAGGAACCAGGCTCCGTTGACTTCCTCGCGTGACTTTTTTCCTCCCCCCCCCTTTTTTTTTTTTACAGCTACCAGACGAACATAGCGGACGGTGGTGAAACGAGGAACACAGCCTGGCTGAACCCCCACTGCAACACCACGGAGCTCGTACGCCTGCTTCTGTACTTGCACAGCATCCCGAGGTTTGTGGCACGAAAGGGCTCACAGGGTGGACACTGCTGCCGAGTCCGCTTTGCCTTTCAAAGGGTGGAAGCTGAGGCCAGGGAGTGGAAGGGGCTGACTTTGACCTAGAAACCTGATCCAGACAGTCCCGAAACCGTACGGTTGGGGAGAGCCGATGAGACGGTCACGCAGCAGCTCCGCAATACAGTGTTGTGACGTGAGATTTTAGGGCCAGGCCTCCAAGCTGAGATGAAGGGAGGATGTGCAAGGGTTGAGAAAATCTGCCTTGATGTCAAGTCCAGCTGACAGTCGGTTTTGGAGTCTGCAGGCTGGAGTTTGCTGCAGCTACTCTTCCTTTCACTGTGACACTCTCTGCCTCCAGCTCCTCTCGGGCTCTACGGAGAGTTCATTTCACTTTTAGATGATTAATAAGAAGTAAAGCTAACTCTGTCAGTGATTATTATTCCTTAAATTTTACTTTGTTCTGCAGCCTTTAAAGCATTGATAAAGGGAGCAGGCTTAACCCATGAGAAGGCTTTGGTTCTTGTGCTTCGTTTCTTATGCTTCTTCCTTCGAATCTCTTTCTGCTCTGATCCAGAATGGACCAGAAGCAGCGTGGCTGTGGCCAAGCTTGTCTCTGAACACAGGAAGAAGTGGTTTTCAATTCCTTTCTATTCCTATGGGCTACACAGAGCGGGTATCGCCACCTTTGCGTTCAGTGAGATGTATCCCAGGAACTGGAGAAATAGGAAGTTCAGGTAGAAATTACAAAGATAAAATCTGAGCAACTCAGGAGGTGGTTTCCGTGTCTGCATTTTATTTAGGAGAACGTGGCCAGTTAGTTCCCTGTCATAATGTACATTTTTGTGTTGTGTTTTGTTTTTTTTTCCACCCGATTATGTCTATAGGTTCTATAATCGTGCTGATTTTTCTTGGTGACAAACATGACCTCCCTTTCTCTGCCCTTGCAGACCAGAATGCCAGGCTTTGGGTCTCACTGTTCTTGTGGATGCTCGTCGCTGTTCACCGGTTCCTGCTCTCTTCAAGGCGTTCAGCATATTGCAGGTGAGCCTTGAGCTTGGGCAGAAGAACACTCACTGGCTTACGGTCCTGCTTGGATGTTCCATCTCCATCTGCTGCTTATGTCTCCATCTGCCACCTGGCTTTCAGTTGGCTTTGGGAGGTGGAGGAATTGTGCACCAAGCCCTGTTGTAGGAGGATGACCTGGACCTGCCGGACTGCAGACAAAGCAAAAGACCTGAGTGAGGGGGGAACACCCCTCCCCACCCCTGCAAATCTGCTTCCGTCTCTGTGCTGAGCACAGCCTGTACCCAAGCCTAAATGCTGTCAGAGAATCACAGAATGTCAGGGGTTGGAAGGGAGCTCCAGAGCTCACCCAGTGCCACCCCCTGCCAGAGCAGGGTCACCCAGGGCAGCCCCACAGGAACGCGTCCAGGCGGGTTG